TAATAGGTATCCTTTGGGGAAAAACCCTAAAACATATGTATAGTGTCTTCTTCGGACCGGGTCAGCCCAGGACAAACTGGGTACTGACCCGGCTTCAAATGGGTAATGTGTCAGTTTGCGAGTTGTCAGGTCCTTCCCATCACGCAGAGCCAAGTATCACAGCTCTGGAACTTGTCTATTGCGCCTTAACAGCCTCAGCCTCAGCCGCACGCCTAAGTAGGTTTGTTCTGCGAGTTCTTGTGCGGTTCAGGTCTTCAGCTTTTCAACCCGCACAGCCAACACGTATCTTGGAGAAAACTAGTGTGCAATGGGCTTCCTTAGCTCCAAGTCGTACGCCCAACTCGCAGAAGTCTGGAAACGCGTTCTTGCAAGTTTAAACCTTGCTGACTAAGCCGCATTACCTTCTCGGTCTGAATTGTGAGTACATGTGCGGTTCAGGACTTCTTGCTTTCCACTTGCACAATCATGTAGCACAGGTCTTCAAACTTGTGTGCGTGATGGTCTCCTTCTCTTCAAAGTCGCACGACCAAGTCGGTCTTAAATGCAAACATATGTGTGAGATGGTTTAACAGCTTCCCACTTGCACACCTAAGTCGCACAGCTTGTGGACTTAGAAAAATTTCGAGTTGGAAGTTTCTATTCTTGCTCAGAGTTTCCTTACCTGAACATCTCTAGTCGCAGCTTGTACCCAGAACTCAATCCTTCATTGCTGCGAGTTGACTAAGTCGCATAAACATCTCACAGCATTTCTTGTCTTCTCTGACCACTTTTTGTTTAGGGCGGCATAACTTCCAGGATACTGATCCAAATGGCATGATTCAAATTCCATTGGAAAGAACACTCAACAATCTCAAACTTTAGTGAAGAAAACAAATGCATTCGGGGAGTGGAAGGTCTCTCGGACAGCTGATCTCTGAAGTGCACCGGAAAGATCCGAAGAAAGCTTCTAAACCCGTGTTTGTTCTGGAAATGTTATCTCCCAGCTCAGAGCTCTAAATCGGATGATCTCAGGCGTTCTGGAAAGAAGACGCAAAGATCTTGAATATTGATGAAGGCCGCGGAAACTGAATCGGATAGGAAGGACATCGTCGAACAAAACTTTGAAGCATACCGGATCGGTATGGAATGCAAGCGAGACAATTACGTCTTCTGATGGCTATAACTCTCAGCTCACCGATTCGAATCCACTAATTCCAACTGTTATAGAACCAAGAACTAATCCTCTCCAACTTTTATGCAGACCCCGAAAGCTGAATCAGACGGCAAGGCTCCCCGAACGAGTGATCATTGATGCGTGTTGGGAACCAGAGATTTTGACCGAGTCTTCATGTACCGCAGTAAGCTTTTTGGCCGAGAATCTGTTCCTCGGTAAGCTTTTTTACCCGGTAAAACTCATCTCCCTCGGCATAGAACTTTAGCCGATAGTCTCCTCATCGGGTACAGTATTTTACTGAGCCAAACTCAATCTGGCCATGTTTTAGCCCATGGTTGTACGATCAGACCATAATCAGCACCCGATAAAACCTTCTCCACCAAGTACACGTTTTGGTTGACGGGAAGCTTCCTGCGAAGGAATCTTAGCTGATAGAAATCTTCCCGTGCAATGCCTTAGCCGAAAAACTCCAAAATCTTGGTTTTCACCATATTTGATCTTTTAAACTCCATCTCTTCACCTGGTTCACTCTCTCTGCTCCAAGTAGCCTCCAAAAGCACTCACTTGGACCTAATGCAAATCCCTAAGTCCAAAAACAATACCTAGAGACCTAAAATTCATGAAATAAGATATGATTTGGACTAAAACATGCAAGATAAACGATGCATTTTATGAACATATAAACTCCCCAACACTTGTCATTTGCATGTCCTCAAGCAAAAAGAACAATTGATAGAGAGAGGTTGAATGCTTGGGAGTTCATATTTCCTATGAGAAGAGAGAAGTAACAACAAAGAGAATTCAAATTGAGGGTCCAAGTTGCTAATACTAAAATGCAATGCAAGACTTTACTTTGATGCATCAAACTCAACAATGATCTCCACAAGCTTTCTTATTCCTTGGCTCTTTAACATTCATTAAGCTCTTTCTCATGTGAATCAAGTGATGCATGTTCAAACAAGCAAAGTTTGGCTAAGGGTGAGGTTATGAGACTAAAATGATCTCATCAATGCTTAAGTGTGTTCAATGCAGCAAGGGGATCTCTCTTTGAATGATCAAACTTTGGCAGAAGGCTAAAAGAAAAAAGCAACCAATGCATACAAGGGCAAGAACTCATCTCACCCAATTACCTAAAATGCCTCTAACCTAAAGTCTCACACTAGTTCCACCCTCACATGAGCCTCAAATCTCTCTTCTCACTCATTTTTCTCTCACTAGGGGATTCATTTTTCATTTCCATACTCTAGTTTTTGGGGTCCAAACTCTACTCTTAGCTCTTCTTACTTGCACTATCTAGCTCTTTTCTTTTCTTTTTAAACACTTGAGCCTTTTTGGCTTCTTTCTTTCTTTCTTTTTTCACTTAGAGGCTAGATCTTTTTCTTTTTAAACACAAGAGCTTTCTTTCTTGAACACTAAACCCTAAACATTTAATGGAACTAAACATCATGAGGCTTGCCCTTGGCGCTCTAAACCTAACACTTTCAGCTAAGTTTGACCCAAGGTGGCCTCTCAATCACTCACAAACATTTGGCTTGAAGGAAGGTTGGGTTCAGGGTGTGGAAACTGATCGAAAGTGTGGCTTCAGCTATTTAAGCTAAGGAAAAGAGTGGTAAAAATGGGTTTCTAGCTCAAATATGTATAAGTATCCACAAGCTTGTTCAAAATCAAGTTTAAGGTTTTCACTTGCTAGAGCTGAGTTCAATTTAAGCTAGTATCACAGATCCAAATCTTTTCCAAGTCTTGCAACCATAAAAGAACTAACAACTTGGGCCATGAACTAAATTTTAAAAGTGATGTTCTCTCAAGGAAAAAATCTATCATTACTCTCATGCAATGATGCAACCTATATGATTATGCAACTAGACTCAATCCTAAAAATGTGAATGCAACTAGAATGAACATTTTTTGTGAAACTTTTTCTGATTTTTTGATTTTTTTTTTGGTTTTTTATATGCACTTAGATGCAACTATATGAATAAATGAGACTCAAGACTCAAAATGGAAAATAAGATCAAAGAAAACATGATTAGCAAATATAAAACTCCTCCCCCACACTTAAATAACACAGTCTTTTGTCTTATAAAAGTATGAGAAAGGAGTGCAAACCAAAACAAGCAAAATGCAAAGTCAAAAAGCAAGAACTACATGCATATTTACAAGGGTTGGAGTTGTACCTAGTCGCTTTGGAAGTCTGACCCCAAAGAGAATGAGGGGTTTGATGTGAAGCCAGATGGCGTTTCCCAAGAGTGCAGGCTTGGCTCCTCAAAAACGGTTTCAGGATCCACCCAATGTGCTTTGCTGTATGGTACCAATGCTGGGCAGGTGGTGGAGCTTTCTCCAACCTCTTCTCTGAGGCCTGGATAAACTGGATGTGGAGATCCTTCCTTGCATGGGTTCTCATGCTTCTTGATTCTGTTTTTCATCTTTTTGATACACTTAGCCATCTTGTGTATCATTTTATCCTGACACTTACACCATTGCTAAAGGATACCAATATTTTTCTTAGCTCTAAATCCTAAGGTTCCTGGCTCTTCCCAATTGTAATCATCAAAGCGGTATATATTCCCTCCATAGCTTTTGAGAGGTGGATGCATACCATCATCATCAGCACCAACAGCACTAGCTTTAGCAGCTGCTTTCTTTCCCTTGGAAGCCTTATTTGCAAGCCTTCTTGTACTTAAGAACTGGTGGGTCAGTTTGAACATTGTGGAGCTGTTACTTGAGCACATAGAAGTGGATATTGCACTTCTCTTGGATTATGGTGAGGGAGGGGTTGGGTAGGAGGACTTAAATTGCTTCATCTTGGAAGTTCTTGAAGTTGTAAGCAAGCTTGGTGCCCACTCTCCCTTGAAGATTCCAATCTTACAAAGATGAGCTTCATTGATCAGATCAAATATTGCCTCACTCTCCTTAAACCTGTACCCCTTTGCCTTTAAAATCTTTGTCACAACCCAACCAGGGCTCAACTTCACATCTTTCCTCTTTGAATCCCAAATGGTCTCCTTGTAAGCCATCAAGCTCCTTGCTAATTGAGAGGCAATGCAAGGTTTGTAGGAATATCCTTCAAAAGGCTTCCCATTGTCATAAGTTGGCATCAAATGTTTCAAACCCACATCAAGAAGATTCAAGTCACCCTTGTGAACTCTTCCCACATCAAGCTTAAAGAAAAGGCTGTGACCAAGGATCTTGTGAACATATCTCAGCACATGGTTTCTGATCCACAAGGCTTAGATACACCAGCTCTGTAATTCCAAAATGCAATTGTTTCCCACAAAGTTTGAAGTTTTTCCTTGGAATGAGCCACCTAGTTTGAGAGAGGTGTGTTTCCAGGTGCACTGAACCCAAATATCTCAGCCAACTCCTTGAATGTCACCATATAGGTCTTTCCTTTCACCACAAACTCCATATATCCAAGACCATGCCCTAGAATTCTCATTGAATCTCTTGGGTAAAACATGAAAGCATCAAAGGAAGCCAGGAACTCCTGAGACTCCTCTTCATAAGCGATCTCCCTCAGCTCCAAAAGGGACTCAATTCCCATGTTTCCAAGCAGAACTTTGACATCCTCAAAGATACTAATATTTTTCAAAAACTCCACATCAGAGAATCTCCCTTGTTGGACCCCAAACTTCTGAAACTTTGCCAAAAAGTCAGCTGTTTCTGGTGCACTTTTCATAGCGTCTTGAATGGCACCTTAAGAACACCCAGCTGAGCTGCTTAAATCACTATTGGTCCTCTCATCATCAGAGACCACTGCCAGCTGTTTGCCCTTTTTCTTTGAGCCAGATGCAACCACCAAAGCCCTCTCATCATTCCTTTATCTCTTGGGCACTTGTTCACCTTTGGTTTACTTTGTCACCTTCTTTGTGCTCTTTCCGTTCCCTTTTGGCTTTGAGGATCTTGAGACGAAGGTCTTGTCTTTTGGTGCAAGACTCTTCTTCACGTGAGCAATGGCATTGGTTCTCTCAGTCATCTGCCAAAAGAATTTCTCAAAAACTAGTGAGCACAAGAACAAGTTCCACAAAGTTCTCAAAAAATTTGAAAAATTGTTGCAAAAACCGATTTCTGAAGATCATGAACAAGTTTCTCAAGCCAAGCATCAGTCCAATAAATTCACAGCAATGCAAACCATAAGTGCAAAGCAAAGACTCAGAAAGAAACAAATTCATTTCTTTTTCAAGAAAATTTGATTTTTCATGGAATTATTTTGCAACAATATTCAGAACTCATGAACAATGAATCCCAAGCAAGAAGTCTGTTTTTCATGATAATCTAGCACCCTAGAATTTATGAAAATAATCCCAAGGTCTCTAACAACCTATTAAAACCGATTCCACAATAGAAGCTCAATAATCATCATTTAAGGACATGAGAAGAGATGAGTTTTAAGAGAGTGAATACCATGGGATTATGATGCAATGCGATCAAAATGCTTACAGTGTGAGATTACCAAAACAAAACAAGTTCAGGGCACTTTGAATCAGCAATTTTGGTGAAGAAATGAGAGAGATATGCAAGAAATAAATGAGAAAATGGGTTTGAGAATGCAAACTCGTGTTCTCTTGAAGGAGAAGGAGTGATTGGACTAGGTGCATGCTTTTATCCTTTGGTCAATAGATCCAGTTTGACCACTCAAGGCTTGACTTTCTCTATTTTGTTGACCAGACATCCTCTGTGCAGCTTATACTCTCGCTTGACCATCCTGCACGCGCCCAACTCGGTTTCTTTTGCGCGTGTATGTGAGAATTGGGGTCGTCCCCTTCCTGTCCCGCACACCTAACTCGCACATAACTCCTCTCCAAAAACCCCGGCCTTCTTTTCTGGTGTGCTTCTTAGTCTGATCAAGAACTGACTCGGGAAACCATCTCGGTCAAAAACGCAAGTATCAGTGCGACTTGGGATTTCCTTTGACTGTGTCGCACACCTAAGTCGCACATGTGCTCCTCTTGCACGTCCTGGTTTCTTCTCCTTGTGTGCGGCTTAGGCAGGTTCTAATCCAACTCGCATGACCAAGTAGCCTATCCCAACACTTAGAGACTCCTTTTCTTTTCACGCTGCTTCGACATAGGTTGAATCGGAACTGATTCGCACACTCAACACGGTCTTTTCTGCGAGTCTTTGTGCGGCTTGGGACCTTCATGATCTATCTCGGAGGCCTAAGTCGCACATTTCACCCTTTGGAAGTCCTAGCTTCTTTTCTTGCTGTGCAACTGGGTTTGCTCATGAACCAACTCTCATGACCATCTAGGTCTGAAGTGCGCGTAATTGTGCGACTTGGTCCCTCCCCAACTCGCACTGATCAACCCATTGAACGCCTTGGCTTCTTTTCCTAATGTGCGGCATGGGGTGGTACAGAGCCAACTCGTATGACCAAGTAGCACATCCCAAGTAGCACACCAGGCGTCTCTCAAGTTTTCATGCCTTAGGTCCTTTCGCAGCCTTCTCACAAACTCCATTTCACTTTGTTCTTGAATCACAGCCTCCAAAAGTCACCTGGGACCTGAGAACACTTCACAAAACCTATCAGAACATCTTAAAAACATAAAAAGAAAGAAAAAAAAAGATTAAAAAGATTATATACAAGGATAAGCTTGGGGTGTCTCCCAACAGCACTTCCTTTAATATCACTAAGTTTGAATTTTTTTTAACCATTACTGGGTTAGGGGATCATCAAGAGAGACTATGGTAGCTCTTTCTTTTATTTCACTTGCAAAATAGTGCTAGAGCCTTTGTCCATTTGCCACAAAGCTGTTTCCATTCTTTCCCTCAAGTACCACAGCTCCATAGCTTCTTACTTCCAAAATCTTGAAAGGACTAGACCACCTTGACCTTAACTTGCCTTTGAACAGCTTTAACCTTGAGTTGAATAAGAGAACAAGGTCTCCTTCCTTGAACTCTCTCTTGAGGATCTTCTGATCATACAAATTTTTTGTCCTCTCCTTGTAGATCTTTGAGGTTTCATAAGCATTCAGCCTGATCTCCTCTAGCTCATGGAGTTGTAAGAGCCTCTTCTCTTGAGCAGTTTTGATGTCAAAGTTGAGTAACTTAACAGCCCAAAGATATTTGTACTCCAGCTCTACAGGAAGATGGCAGCTCTTCCTATACAATAGATTGAAAGGTGAGGTCCCAATGGGGGTCTTAAAAGCTGTCCTATAAGCCCAAAGTGAATTATCAAGCTTCTTAGACCAGTCCTTTCTAGATGCACTCACTGTCCTTTCAAGGATTGTCTTTATCTGTTTGTTGGAAGTCTCCACTTGGCCACTGGTTTGCGGGTGTATGGACTTGCTATCTTGTGCTTAACCCCATGCTTCTTTAGCAAACCTACTAAATTCTTGTTCACAAAGTGAGTCCCACCATCACTGATCACAACTATGGGAACACCAAACCTGGGGAAGATGATGGTCTTAAACAGCTTGCCCACAATTTTTGAATCATTGGTGGGGCTTTCAATGGCTTCAACCCACTTGGACACATAGTCCACAACAACCAAGATATACTGATTCCCATGAGAAAAGATGAATGGCCCCATAAAGTCAATGCCCCAACAGTCAAATATCTCAACTTCTAAGATGGGGTTTTGAGGCATTTCATTCCTTTTTGAGATGTTGCCTTGTCTTTAGCAAGAGTCACAGCTTGAAACCACACTTTGTGCATCTTTGAACATGGTAGGCCACCAAAACACTGATTGGAGAACCTTAGCAACAGTCTTGAAAGCCCCTAGATGCCCTCCATATGCTTAACCGTGGCACTCTTGTAGAACTGGCTGCACCTCTTCCTCAGCCAAACATCTTCTATACAAATGGTCTTTGTTGAGCACATACAAGTAGAGCTCATCCCAGAAGTACCTTTTCACATCTTTGAAGAACTTCTTTCCTTGATAAGCATTCAACTCTGGTGGCTCCACACCACAAGAAAGGTAGTTCACTATGTCAGCAAACCAAGGCAAGCTTCTTTCTCTGATGGTGTTAGCTTGCTTAATCTCTAGATAAACTTGATCACCATGAATTGCTCTTCAGGCAGTAAATCATTCAAGGGGACTTCAGAATCCACTATTAATCTTGAAAGATGATCAGCTGAACTATTGTCTATGCCCTTGTTATCTTGGACTTCCATGTCAAACTCTTGCAGGAAAAGCACCCATCTCAAAAGCCTTGGCCTGGCATCTTTCTTGGTCATTAGGTACCTAAGAGCTGCATGGTCTGTGTAGACCACCACCTTAGAACCCACCAAGTAGCTCCTGAACTTGTCAAAAGCAAAGACTATAGCAAGCATCTCCTTATTTGTTGTGGCATACTTTTCCTGAGCTGAATCCAAAGTTCTGCTTGCATAGTATATGTCATGCAGCTTCTTATCCTTCTTTTGCTCCAAAACAGCTCCCACAGCATAGTCTGATGCATCTGTCATTACCTCAAAATGCAAAGTCCACATCTTTACACAACAACCTTGTCAATAGCCTTGCTATCTTGGAGAAATCGTTGATGAATCTCCTACAGAACCCAGCATGACCCAAAAAGCTTCTGATCCCTTTCACTGTGTTAGGAGCCTCTAAGTTGACCATCACCTCACCCTTTGCTTTTTCCACCTTAGTGTGTGCCTCTGATGCCTTGTGTCCAAGCATTATTCCCTCTTGTACCATGTAGGGGCACTTTTTCCAATTCAGAACAAGGCTTGTCTCCTCACATCTCTTCAAGACCTGAGAAAGATTGGACAAACATGAAGAGAAGGAGGATCCATAGACTGAGAAATCATCCATGAATACCTCAACCTTCTCTTCTATTAAGATACCTCAACTCCGGAGGGAAGGCAGCTGAATTGTATGCAACTTTGATGAAGAACTTGGGTGGATCCGGGTTAGAAAAGCCTTCCAGTAAATGGATCTTTGCATCGGCTCAGGAGATTCTGATTTCTCGCTGCGGGATTTGTCTCTCTCCCGAATGCGATATCTGCCAACTAAACACTTCAAATGGGAACCAAACGTTCTGGGAAGATGACTCAATGCTCTCAAATCTTGATGAAGGCCCTGTAAACTGAATCAGAAGGGAAGAGCTTCATCTTGGGTGATCTTTGAGTCACTAAGTTTGACTTTTCATACTCTTTTCTTTGTGAGGGTGAGGAGAAGCATTGATGCTCCTTATCTTGTTAATGGATTCAAGCATGAATTCTCTGCTCATCAGCTCTAGAACACCATCAGATCCCTTGTCCTTGAATACAAACCTGAGGCCCTTGTTCATCAGCTCTTGAACTGCTTGTGTGAGGACTGCCCTGACCTTGGAAAATGATCTTGATCCTCCATTGCATTGAACCTTGTAGCCTACAGCTCCACAATCAAACTTCCATGGAGTGAGAGTTAGGGCTTGATAAGAAGATCCAAGGGTGGATTGTTTGGTGCATTTTGGATTTTTTTTTTTGGATCCTGAACCATTGCCCTTGTTGCTGCTCAGCTCTTCCTCATTTGGTATAGGGGAAAAAGAGATCAAGCAAGCTTCCTCCCTAATAAACAGATCCCCGTCTGCATACTTAAAGTCAGGTTTGATTTGGGGTTCTTCCTTCTTCTCCATAGTTGGAAGGGATTGAGCTTCTCCTAGGATACCAATGCTTCCCACATATTTCATCTCATAGTTCTTGAACTCATCCATTTCTCCAAAAACAGTACCACAAAAATCAGCTGATGGGGGTTTAACAGGGTAAGAGACTTACCTTTGTGAGCACCACTCTTTGGGTATCAAAGTCAATTCTTGCTCCTGTGGTGTTCAGAAATGGAGTTCCAAGAAATAGAGGAAGCTCCTTGTTTTTCTTCATCTTCATGACTACAAAGTCAGTGAGGATTAAGCATTCACCAACCCTTAGTGGATAGTCTTCAAGGATCCCATATGGTTTTTTTGAGTCGGAATCTCCAAAAGTAATTGAAGTAGGGTGATGCTTGAAAGTCTTGATCCCCAGTTTCTCTACCATGTCTAGAGACATCACATTATTACTTGATCCAGATCACACCAAGCATTCTCAACGTTGAATTCTCTAAGAGAGCAGGAGATAGTGAATTTCCCAGGGTTACCTAGCTTTGGAAGGGATGTAGGCTTCACCATTGTTGAATCAAGTCTAGAGACTCTATCTTTGAACTTTTCTTGATCAACTTGTTGTCCCTTTGTTTCAACAGACACAAAATCATTCCATTTCTGAACAAAATAATTCCAATTCGGATCAAAAACAGGCTGCCTCCCCACCTTATTTCTCAATGTCCTCATTGAGATCATAGAACAGGTTCTCATAATCTTCTATAATGGCGTCCTCATGCTCAGAATTTTCAAACCTGTGAACTCATTAGAGAATTTTCCATTAAGAAGATATTCAATTTCCTAAACAGCAGCAGTGTTCTCATCACTTTGAGTATATGGCATTGCAATACTCTTTGGGGTTTGGAACAAGTTTGCCTGGTAGAGAGCTTTGTGATTCAGAGGTGGAGATGCTTTTGTTCCTCTGAAGAGTCTTTATTTTGGTTTCTAGTATCTCAATCTTGGAAATGAGTTCACAGGTTCGAGAATTCAGTTTTTGTTGTCCCTATAGAAGCTGTTTTAGAACTATACTGATGTCTGGACCCTGCTTCTGAGAAGTACCTTGTTGAACATGTGGCTGTCCAACTCCTGGAGGGTATGACTTCTGTTGCTGGAAACTGACTTGATTTGGGACGCTATTTAACTCCTTTCAATTTCCTTGGTTGAAAAGCTTTCTGCCCTTGTAATTTCCTTGGAATTGGTTCTTTAGAACATAACCCTGAGTCTGAACTTGCTGAGAAGGATACACTTGGTCTCCTGGGTTAGCTAGATTTGGGTTTCTATAGCTCAGGTTCTGATTGTAATTATTGAACCTGTTGAACTTGTTCTGGTTCCCAATGTAGTGTAGCTCCTCCCGAGTCAAAACATCTTTATTCACATTCTCAAAACATGGAGCTTGCCATCAAATTCACCAACATAGTTTACAGGCTTTTGAGTGGCAACTAACAATTTGTCAATCTTGAGTTAGAGCTCCTTGATATCCTTTTTCAGTCTCTGTTCTTCACTAGAACCTTCTCCTCTATTAGTCCTATCATATTTCTCCCCATAAGTATTGCTCATTGCCAAATTCTCAACCAGCTCTATGGCAGCAATGATCTCCTTTGCTAAGAAGTTCCCATTGGAGGCAGTATCTACTTGGTTCCTGATCTTGGGAAGAGCACCTCTGTAAAGAGTGCTAAGCAATAATGCTTCAGAGAACCCATGGTGAGGGCGCTGATTAGTGTAGCTCCTGAATCTTTCCCAAACTTCACCAAATGTCTCATTGTTATGTTGGGTGAAGGTAGAGATCTGATTCCTGAGCTTAGCTTTTTTTTTTTTTTTTTTGAGGTGGAAAAGAACTTTGAGAGGAAAGCCAGCTTACATTGCTCCCATTTCTGAATAGAACCCTAGTGAAATTCTTCCCCCATTGGCGTGCTATATCTCCCAGACTGAAGGGAAAAAGTCTCAGCTTGAAACCATCCTCAGACACACCATTGATCTTTGTAAGGTTGCAAACATTGTCAAAATTATCAAGATGGTCTAGGGGGTTTTCCATAGGCAGGCCATGGAACTTGGAGTTCTGGACCATAATGAGGAGCGAGGCTTTGACTTCAAAATTGTTGTTCTCCACAGGTGGAGCCTGGATACCTTGCCTGTTCTGGTGAGCATTTCCTCTGTCATTGGCACCCACAAAAATCTGATTCCTCACTTTAGGCTGGTGATTCCTTTTCTGGTGTTGGTTCTCCTGGTTCACCTGAGCCTGATGTTCATTCCTTGCAGCCATATGTTGGTTCACAAAAGCCTGTTGCTCATTTCTGGGTGCCTGGTTTTGGTTAACTTGAGCTTGGTGCTCTGCTTGATCCCCTTGCTAATCAATACCCTGCTGCTGATGATTCTATGCTCTCTATTGCTCTTCTATATCTTCTATCAAGCAGCTGAATGTTGTTAATGAAGGGCTCTAATAGATTACAACTTCTGCTTCTTGTTCTTGGCCTGTTGTTCATAAGCCTGATTCTTTAAAGACAGAACTAAAAAATTTTATCATTAAAACAAAAACACTTGATAAATGACCAAAGACTAATGCTAAATCTTCCACACTTTGGCAACGACGCGAATTGATAAACAAGAGTTTTTGCGGCTCTTTTGGTATCAATCCCATTTGTCTGTTATAGCACAAAGGATATCAATCCAATGTATGGAGTTTAATTCACTAAACTATGTGATCAACTCTTAATCCAAACAAACAAGATGGTTTCGATTTCAAAAAAGTGACAGAACTGCAATTAAACAAGATTCATGACTGAAACAAGGCAGTAAACAAAGACAGCAAATGAAGATGATATGAATATGATGAAACATAGAGCTTTAGACATGATAGTTGGCTAAGGTGCATCAGGGTCTAATCAAGGAGCTAATGACAATAATGATGAATGATCTCAGGAGCATAGGATTCAAATCAAGTCTTAATCTTTTCAAGCATCAAAACACTAAACCAAACATTGCTCATACCTAATCATCATTAGAGGCACAATGAAAGAAATGCATTAAACACCAATCATAATATACCATCTATGCTCAAAACAACATTTCCATTTGAATCAAACAATACGCTCTTGAGTTAGCTGGTTTAGGCATTTCATCAAACATCTATAGGGTGGATGAAATGCCAAAGATCTTGGTTAGAGAGATCATCTAAAACACAGCATTAATATCACCTAAGCGAGACATAAATGCATAAATCTAGCCCTAAGCAACCTTGATTAAACCCCTAAGCACCCTAACCTACATATCTAGAACCCTAATGAGGTGCTACTCACTAATCATGATTAACTCTCTGATTCCTTTGCAGGAAGAGTAGTTAAGCATGATTAGTTGATAAAGAAAAGAAGATGGATGAATAGTTATGATGATAAGATATAATGGATTAAGTTTTCAAACACTTTTGATTCAAAGAAAGGAAAGGAGGTATCTCTCTTTAGTTGTCTCTTACACAAAAGTGGCTAAAACCTTAACGGAAAATGAGATAGTCTTTGGAAAAAAAACCCTAAAAAGTATTTATAGAGTCTGATTTGGACTGGGTTAGCCCAAAAAAACTGGATACTGACCCGGTTCAGTTGGGTCTTGGAGTCCATGGTGCGAGATGGTCTTGGTTTAGCTCACCCGCTCCACCATGTCGCACTGCCAGAGGCTTGTTCTTGTGGATCAACTTCTTTTTCTTCTTCAGCCGCACTCCCATTTCGCATCCTTCAAGAAATTACACCTTCAAGAAATTACCCCAAGCCGCACTCACTCACAACTCAAAGTTTCCAGCCCCAAGAGAGTATGAGTTCGACATGTTACTTCTCATCATCCATCTCGCACTGCCATGTCGCAGCCCCAAACAAATGTTGGTGCAACATGGTTCATCTCCTTGTTCACAAGCACTCCCATGTTGCAGGTTATTTTAGACTTGGAATATTTTGAGCTTTGGAAATCCTTACCCTACTCCGAGGCAGATCACCCGCATCATTCAATTTTCAGCTTACTGCCTGAGTTAAACACTCTTTGCTGCGAGTTAGCCCAGTTGCAAAGCCATGTCGTACCTATTCTCATTTTCTCAAAACAACTTGCATTTGAGCTTGCATAACTTGTGGGATATGACTCTAAATGACTCGGGGCAAGCTCCAGAGGGAAGGCAGCTCAATTTCCTGCAAATTTAATGATGAACTTGGGTGCATCCGGGGTGAGAAAAGTCTTACCGTAAACTGATCATTGCATCGGCTCGGGAGGTTCTAGTTTGTTGCTGTGGGACATGTCTGTCTCCCAACTGCGATATCTTTCAACTCAACACTACAAATGGGATGATTCCAAACGTTCTAGGAAGATGACTCAATGATCTAAAATCTTGATGGATGCCCTGTAAAGTGAATCGGAAGGGAAGAGCTTCGTCTTGGGACTGGAATGGTTGCGAGACAGTTCATCTTCTGTTGGCCATATATTTCATATCACTGATCCAAATCCATTGATTATAGGTGTTATGGAAGTCTGACCCAATCCTCTTGATTTTTTATGAAGACCCATACGCTGAATAGGACGGGAAGACTTTACGCAATCGTTGAGGAGTATCCATAAAGGAGATTTTTGGGACATGCTGGGTTCTATCGCAGATTTATCAAGGATTTCAGCAAGATTGCAAGACCACTTCCTGCTCTACTGTGTAAGGACGTCAAGTTTGAGTTCACAGATGAGTGTCTTGCTGCTTTCGAACAGATCAAACAGGCGTTGATAAGCGCGCCTATTGTGCAGCCCCTGACTGGAATTTGCCTTTTGAGGTGATGTGTGATGCCAGTGATTTCGCGGTATGAGCTTTTCTGGGACAGAAGAAGGACAAGAAACTTCATGCAGTTTACTATGCTAGTCGAACCCTGGATGATGCTCAGAGGAACTACGCGACCACCGAGAAAGAGTTACTAGCTGTGGTCTTTGCATTCAAAAAATTTTATCCCTACCTTGTGGGATCAAAGGTGATTGTGCATACAGATCATTCTGCACTCAAATACTTGTTGCAGAACAAGGATGTGAAGCCAAGGCTACTGCGATGGGTTCTCTTACTTTAGGAATTCTACATTGAGGTTAAGGACAGGAAGGGAGTAGAAAATGGAGTTGCAGACCATATCTCACGCATCAGGGTTGAAGAGGACGTACCCATAGATGATTTTATGCCAGAAGAGAACGTTTACTATGTTGAAACAGGGTTTCAGAGCAGATTTGACGAAGAATTACAGGCTTTTTAAGTTGGAGAAACGTTAGTGTCGAACGACACCACCACTAGTGTCACACGACACCTTGTGCAGATGAACACAGAGATTTCTCAAATTTGAAGCAGACTTCCTGCGATGAGTTCAGCTGTTGTATCTGCTACCAACCGTCCATGGTATGCTGATAATGCCAACTATCTTGCTGCAGAGGCCGAGCCTGAAAACTTTAAAGGCTATGCGAAGAAGAAGTTCCTGAGAGAGCTAAGGAGATATCACTGGGACGAGCCATATGTGTACAAGCACTGTTCTGATGGGATTTACAGAAGCATTGCAGAGTCAGAGGTTCCAGAGGAATTGTTTCATTGTCATGGATCTGAATATGCTGGACACTTCACGACCTTTAAAACAGTGTCTAAGGTTCTTCAAGCAGGCTTTTGGTGGCCTACAATGTTTCATGACACACATGTTTTTATCTCGCAGTCTAATGCTTGTCAGAGGAGAGGAAAGATCAGCAAGCGACATGAGACGCCACAGAATTTCATCAATTTTTCCCCGGGGGAATCTTTAGAATTACCACTGCTTAGCTTTCAATTTGCCTCTGACCATCAAATGAAATGTGAATAACTCGTCCTCCTCTCTTTGAAACAAGGGGCGCTTATGGTTTTGTCGGTGCTTGAAACAATATCCTTGAGTTTGAAGTGTTTGATTGCTGGGGTATCGATTTCATGGGTCCTTTTCCCTCTTCTTATTGGAAAAGTACATCCTGGTTGTAGTTGGTTATGTATCTAAGTGTGTCAAAGCCATTGCCAGCCCCACCAATGATTCTTCAGTGGTTCTCAAGATGTTCAAGACCATCATCTTCCCTCGATTTGGAGTGCCTCGAATTGTTATAAGTGATGGTGGTTCTCATTTTATTAACAAGGTTTTTGAAAAACTCCTAAGGAAACATGGAGTTCATCATCGAGTCGCAATTCCTTATCACCCTCAGACGAGTGGACAGGTTGAAGTCTCAAATCGACAGATCAAGGAGATCTTGGAGAAGAAAGTGGGTAAAACTCGGAAGGACTGGGCTGCAAAGTTGGACGATGCACTCAGGACGTACAGGACAGCGTTCAAAACGCCTCTAGGTACCACGCCTTTCCACCTGCTCTATGGAAAGCCTTGTAACCTTCCAGTAGAGATCAAACACAAGGCAGCTTGGACAATAAAGATGAGGAACTTCGATACCAAGTCTGCTGCAGAGAGGAGACTAATACAGCTGAATGAGTTGGATGAAATCAGGCACCATGCCTATGAGAATTCGAAGCTATACAAGGAGAGGACCAAGGCGTATCACGACTTGAAAATCCTTTCCAGGCAATTTGAACTGAATTACCAGGTACTCCTGTATAACTCTCGTTTGCAATTGTTTCATGGTAAATTGCATTCTTGTTGGTCAGGTCCTTTCATAGTCAAGGAAGTTTGACCCTATGGTGCCATCGTCCTCCTCACACCAGATGGCAGCAGGGAGTTCACAGTGAATGGACAAAGGGTGAAAAATTACTGGGCTAAAGCTGAAATTCCAGATGGACACATCGTTCCTCTGGATGGTGCACCCCCTGCCTGAATCACCATCAAGTCAAGCTAATGACTTTCAACAAGCACTTGGTGGAAGGTAATCCACTGGTAAGTCTGTACATATGTCTTTTTATTTCAGCTGATTTTGGTTTTTTTCGTTTTCGTGATTTAAGTGAAGCAGAGACTGGTGTAGCGCGACACCACTCTCAGTGTCGCTTGTCAGTTATTTCTGTTTATTAAAAACAAAAAAATTAGGAAATCAGGAAACCGGAGTCAAACCAGAAATTCGGATTGGTCTGCTACAATTCGGTACGAGGATAACAAGTGTCGCACGACAACATCATCAGTGTCGGTCGACACCATCATTGCAGCCAGGTAAGTTCTCCGTTTTTACTGTGTTTCTCTGTTTCCTTTCTTTTTTTTCACCAACTTCGGACTAGATAACACTTGGGACAGTGTTGTTCAAGTCTGGGGGAGGTAGTCGATGACATTGTGTTTATTTTTCTTAAGAGTCAGTCATGTCAAATTGTTTTTGAGTCAAAACATGTTGGAGATTATGATGCTTTTCCTGGAACTATTGTGCTGACCTTTCATCTAAGTGACCATTGTTGCAGATTCAGTCTAGATCTGACTAATGAAAAATCCAAAGGCTGACCAGTTGACTAGAGGCGTCCATGTTTCCAACAGAGTCCACTAACCTGAGCTAATTTCTGAACTCTTTCTTTTACCTCATTGATGTGACTGATGTTCATAGAGCTTGATTCCTCGTTCATACTTAACAAATGAAAGCCTGTGTAAAATATTATCTTGGTGCTTCTCTCCCTTTTGACGAGTTAAAAAAGGTGAAGAAAAAGAAATAAAAGGCGAAAAGATTGAGATGATTATCTTTTAGAAGTGAAGGGCTAGGAAAATTTCCAGGGATCCCATTATTTCACTTCTAAGTAGGAATGATCACACAAAGGAAGGAAGCGAGGGGTAGGAAACTTTCCTATGACCCCACTATTCGCTGAAAACCTTTGATACAAGGTAAGGGGACAACTCGGGGATTCGATGGCAAACACCATCAGTACTCGCAGCTTTACCCTTATCGTGTATATGCCATTAAAAAAATGTTGAGAGTGCGAAAAGAACAAGTCTGGGGGAGAGAAAAGTACCAAAGTGTTTATGGCTGATTTGTTTGAGTATAGTACGGGAAAGAGTCTTGAAGGTTCTTGGCATTTAAATCATCACTGAGATCCAGCGATGAGGGTTTATGGACAATGTTGTGGAATTTTGGACTTAATCTAGGAAGCTGTGAATGTCTGCGGAGAAGTACATGGTGGTTCGATTTGGAATGATGAAGCAGTATTTGTGTTGCAGGGTGATCGGTCAAAAGCGATGTTCAAGTGAAAGGTTGAGTCTCCTTGTTTTTAAACCTCCTTCTCTTATTTGGTATTTTGTTTGCTTGAGGGAAAGCAAATGCTAAGTCTGGGGGAGTTGATATATCATATTTTTATGGTTTTTAACCCTGGTATAAGTCTTATTTATAGAGTTTTTTTAGTGTTTTTCGAGTCTTTTGGAGTTTTTACAGGTCATAGGTACGTTTGGAGCTTAACTGGTGATTTTGGAGCACTTTTGAGCTAAATCAGGATCAAATTCGCGAAGGACAAATCATGTGCATTGGTGTCGCTCGACACCATGGAGAATGACGCTCGACACTTGTCAAACAAATAAAGAAAACGTGATTTTGTTTCCTGTTTGAAGGAGTTGGGCCTAGAAGTATCCAGAGAAGCCCAAAACGTGTTTTATATATATAAATAGGGTTTTTAGTCTCTTTTGAATGACACCTTAGATTTTCGAGCAAGACATCTTTGTGCTTTAGGCTTTTTGCGATTTTGAGAGCTTGGGGAGACAAGTCTGAACTCTGTTCGTTTAGAGAGAAGATTTCGAACACCTTTATTTATTTTATTCATTTTATTTACTGCAATCTATTCAATCATGTTTATTGTTTCAATATCCATGTCTGAGTAGTTAGCTTGTTAGGTTTAGGATTTTCATTAAGGTTTTCTCTGAATGTTTGATTAATTGATTACGGTAGGGTTCATATCTGTTAGTTATTCACCATAGGTTGTTCTTAAAGTTAATTCAGGACTGAGCACCTAGAACTTAGATCTTTGGTTGCTTAATTGACACGGAAGTGTAATTGAATAACTGGAAAGAACCTAGGGTGAACAAAGTAGCTATTCGCAAAGGAATTTGGTTTAAATGCTTTGTGAACATATCAAACTTGTGCATTAAAGCTGGTTTAAATCTGTAGGATTTACAAAGGAATTTGGAATTCTAGAATTTTAACTTAGATAATTCTCACAACGGAAGTTAGTTAATTATAATTCTGTGATTCGAGTTCAAGAACTGTGCTTAAACCTGAACCCTGACTAATCGATTGATCTGCATTCATTGATTTCCTGAGAAACGCCCTAATCTCCATCCATCTGAATCCTACAACGTTTTTACTGATGCTTAGTTTACTTTTTGTTGCATCGCTATCTATTTCCTATATTTCTGCTTAGCGTAATTCGAATTCTATTAGGTTTATTGAGTGATCTCTTGTCTCTGTGGTTCGACCCCTACAATACTACAACTGCACATATGTGCTCTTGCAGGGTATCTTAGGGATTAAACTTTGAACAGATCAGGCCTGATCTTGAGTTTGAAGGGAATTTCATTAGCTTGCTTGAAATCTCTATCTCCTACATGAATTGAGAAAGAGATCAGCAGGAACAAAGGCAATGGTTCAGGGTCTCTAGACAAGAACCCAACAAGCACCAAACCATTCACTCTTAGGTCATCTTCTCAAGTCTTAACTCTCACTCCATAGAAGTTTGATGGTGGAGCTGTGGAATACAAGGTCCAAAGCAATGGAGGATCCAAACCTTTTGCTAAGGTCATGGCAATCCTCACACAAGAGCTCATTGACAAAGGGTCATCTGGTGTTCAAGAGATGATGAACAAGGCTATCACACTTGACTTCATGGACAAGACAAGGAGCATCAATTCTATTCCTAACCTAAACTAAGAACAAGTTTTCCAAAGTCAAACTTAGTGACTTAAAACAAAGTGCTCTTGGGAGACACCCCAAGCTTATCCTTGTATATAAATCTTTTTAATCTTTTCTTTAGTGTTTTTGGAATATTTTGATGGGTTTGTTAAGTGATCTCAGGTTCTAGGAAGTGTTCCTGCTTGATGTCTTGAAGGAACAAGTGCAAAAAGGTATTAAGGCAGGCTGCCTTGTTATTTAAAGAAGCATGGGTGATGGCCTCGGTACCACAGCCTCGGTACAAGCCAGGCTGAGGTACTTTGAAAGTTCAAACCGAATGAAAAGCTCCATACCTCGGCCAAGTACCTCGCCATGATCATTACCGAGGTCTAGATTTTGTTCTTCCATAGGCTAAGTCCATAAAACAGCCTCGGCCAAGATGCCTCGTTATGTTAAGCCGAGGTAAAATCACCGAAGGAAAAGTGACCTCGACCAAACACTTCGAGGTGGTGCACACCGAGGGGTTATTAAATGTTGTAACATTGGTGTGATGCCTCGAGAGTGTTATGACGAAGTGTTCTTGAGCCTGTACCGAGGTACCCTTGCACCAAACCCAGAAACGGACCACCCTCAGCCTAACTACCTCGGCATGGCTATGCCGAGGTATTCTTGCACGCCCATGAACAAAAATGGCATTTTGGAATACTTGGTTCCAACAAGATGGTTCAAAGCAGCAGGCATTCCCTTCAAGGTCAACACCTCCATTCAGTAAAAAAGGTCAACACTCCAAACTCTTAGTAATTTAGCATTTAGTCCTTATCTTTTTCAGTTTGCATTTTTATTCATCTTTGTTTTTCACTCCTTTCTCATATTTTTATAACACAAGGGACTGTGTTATTTAAGTGTGGGGGAGGGGTTTTATGTATACTAATCATGTCTTCTTTGATCTTATTTTCTATTTTAGAGTCTTGTCTCATTGATCATATAGTTGTATCTAAGTGCATATAAAAAACTAAAAAAATAAAAAAATCTGAAAAAGTTTCACAAAAAAATGTTCATTTAGTTGCATTCACATTTGTAGGATTGAGTCTAGTTGCATAATCATATAGGTTGCATCACTTCCATGGGAGTAATGATAGGTTTCTTTGGGAGAGGATTATCTTAAGAACTTGAATTCATGGCCCTAGTTATTAATTCTCTATTGCTTGCAAAACTAGTATGAAATCAAGAGTGCACCATGCTTGGAACTAGTGTCTCAATGCTTTTGTGTTAGTGGGATCAAGTTGTGATTTACTCCAGCCTTGTTTAAAGTGAAAACCATAATTTGACAATCCAATTCTAATGTTTGTGCATGTCATTGTGAACTCATGGGTACCATAAAATATTTGAGCTCTCTTATCCCTTTTTACCACTCTTTGCTAGCTCAAATATCTGTTCTCTAATTTTGAGACAGTTCCCTGCCTTGAACCAAACCTTCCTTGAAGCCTGACACACTTTAGTGAGAGATGATGTGAGGCCTTTTTCTCAATAAACTTGACAGAAAATGTTGGGTTTAGGGCAACAAGAGTAGAGTTTCATATAGATCTAGCTCTGCATCATGAGTCTAGAATAGGTTAGGAAGGGACCTTGGGAAACACTGAGTGGAAAAGAGAGAGTTTGAGATGAGAACCAGGGGATGGAAAAGAAAAGAAATCGGTTCGGGGTATGTTGTTTAAAGAAAGAAAGCTCTAGTGTTTTGAAAAGTTTTAGTCTAGCCTCTAAGTTAAAGGAAATAAAAAAGCCAAAAAGGCTCAAATGTTTAAAGAGAAAAGAAAAGAGGCTAGACAATGCGATGTGAGAAAGACCTAAATGAAAGGTTTAGACCCCAAAGCCTGAGTTTGAGAATGAAAAGATGAAACCCTTGGTGAGGAAAAGAATGAGAGTGAAGTGAGAAGTGGATTGATAAGGCAATGATTGCCTTCAGAGAAGGGTAGCTTAGGTGTGTTCTTCATTGGTTTAGAGTTAAGGTGAAAGACCAACTTGGGGCATTGAGTATATGGGATTCTACTCTTGTATGCATCAGTTGACTTTTACCCTTAGCCTTCTGTTAAAGTTTATTCCTTCTTGAGTGATCCCTTGAGCTGCATTGAACCCATAAGCTTTGAATGAGATTATCTTTGTCTCATAACCTCTTCCATTTGCCAAATGAGTTCACATGATTTGCATGATCATGATCCACATGATACGTAAATGAATGTCAAAGGGCTGGAGTTAGGAATTCTTGTGAAGGTTGACACTTGAGTTTGGTTCACTAGGTGATGAGCATGGCTAGAATTAGTAACTAGGACCCTGAGTTGAACACTTTTCATGATTACTCTCTCTCTCTTTAAAGAAATGTAAACTCCCAAACTCACAACCTCTCTCTCATTTGTTCTTTTTGCTTGAGGACAAGAAAAATATAAGTGCGGGGGAGTTGATATATTCATAAAATGCATCATTTAGTGTACATATTTAAGTCCAAATCATGTCTCATTTGCATACATTTTGGGTCTTTAAGCATTGATTTAGAACTTAGGATCTTGCATTAGGTCCATGAGAGTTTTGCATGGTTTGGAGTGTTAAACAGGTTCATTTGGAGCTTATTTGGAGTGGAGAAAGTGAACCGGCAGGATATCTCTGCCAAAACACGTAACGGCTGCTTAAGCTTCTCGGCCAAAAATTTCCGGTGCAGATACATTTCAAAGATGGAGTTACCGGAAGGCTTTCCCGGCCGATTCAGCTTCCGGGGTCTTCAGAAAAGATCAATATAATTGAGTCAAGATTCCAGAACAATTAGAATCAGTGAATTTGGAGCAACGATCTGAAAGATATGGTCACCGGAAGACACACCTGTCGCGCATTCATTCTGGAGCAATCCAATACACCTCAGAAACGTTGTTACTGGGAAGCCTTCCCTTCCGATCTGGCTTCCAGGGTCTTCATGAAAATTTGAGAGAATTGAATCTTGTTTCTAGCCCGCTTCGAATGAGGAGATTTGGAGCTGTGATCTGGGAGATAATGGAATCGGAAAAAAGACATGTCTAGAAGCCAATTTGGACCCGTGCAATGCACTTCAAAGATCAACCCTTCGGGAACCCTTGCTCTCCCCGGATGGAGTTTGTTTCTTCACCAAACTTTGAGCTTATTGAGTCATATTTAGTGTGGACTTGATCTTGTCTCATTTGGAGTTGTGAGCTAAGAGTTCAGGTAAGCAGAAGACAAGCATGTCTGATCGGATTCCAAGTTTCAAGCAATCCTCATCATCACTAAAAAACTTCTCACGATCAATGAACTCAAGATCAAACTCAAGAGCAAGCTCCAAGAGGCTGATCCTTTTCTTTCATTGCACAATTCCCAACATAATTCATCTTAAAGTCTTGACACTCATCACAGAGACTTGGAGGCACATAGGCTTGCGGCTCAATAGATTTTTCTTCTTTGTTGAGTTTCTGCTTGAGTTTCTCTTCAGCAACAATTTGAACTTTGATGTGTTTAAATGATTAGTGAGTAGTCTTCTTTTAAGCTTCTAGGTGTGTAGATTAGGGTGCTTAGATGTTTGATTTATGATGTTTAGATTCTAGATTCTCATTTCCCTTCCTTAGTTAGCTTCTCTTAATGCTAGATCTCTCATTATAAGCTTGATCTAGAACTTAGACATTTCTCAACCCACAATATGTTTGATGAAATTTCTGAAAGACCTAACGTAAGGGTTTATATTAATTGAACCACATGGGAATGTCTGTTTGAAGCATATATGACATATTAGAACTGTTTGTTAATGCCTATTTATTTATATTTCACAAATGTGAATTTGGTTTGAAAGTGTATTTGTATAGAGATTAATGCCTTCATGAGAGGATTAGTCTAGTTTAGAGTTCTAAGTTATTTGGATTTGAGATTATGTGATAGCTTGCTATATCTTTCTGTGTAAAATTCAGTCTATCTTAACTCTTATTTTAATGCACAAAGAGGCTGTCTGGTCATTTTAGACTTGGAACCTTATGCTTGTTAATTGCTTATTCAATAAGCTTATTCACTAATGGGAATTAGTCTTGATTAAGTAATTTGCAAAGGGATTTCTGTCATGGGAATGAATTAGTCTGCCTTGGAAGTCTAGACTAAAGAATAGCAAGTGTTGCATTGTTTTCTTAGCATCATGAATTCACATTTAAAGCACCCTGATCAATGATCACATCTAGAGGTTTAGCTTTCTCTTTATTTTGAATTTGAATCTTTGTTTAGTTTCTCTTGTGTGCTTGTTCTTGTTTGTTTTATGTTTTAGATCACTAAATCACCAACCTGTTTCTTTAGACTTGGATTAAGAATTGATCCTCATAGTCTTGGTGTCTAGAATCTCTCCATTTGGATTGACCCTCAAATGCTACAACACAAGAGGTTAATTGACCTTAGTATGCTAAAAACCTACTATCACTTCTCACCGGAAATCTCTTTCGCTATAAACGGACACAGCTCTTTTCTCTCTTTACTTCCTCTCTCTATAATTCTCTCTAGATTTCTAAGTGGAAAGAAACCTAAAATGGTGTGGGTATTTATAGAAAATCTATGGGTCGTGGTAGGTAACACCTAAGCAGCTGCGTCAATAGTGGTAGGTAACACCTAACCACTTTCTAAACCAGTGGTAGGTACTACCTAACCACTTTTCTACAATGGTCGTAGGTACTACCTAACCACTTACTGAGCGAATTAAGCACAGGCTCGGCTACGGCATCGATTGGAACAGAACATCTCGGCTACCTCTAAATAAACTCGGAAAAATGTAATTCTGACATGACCAAAGAGTTTATTTTGGTCTAAACTAACGAAATAAACTATCCCTCCATTAATTTAAAGACTTCAATTTTCTAGACTATCCTCAGACGCTTTCTGCTCTCTATCGGGTTATTACACCTCCCCTCTGAGTTTCTCAATGTCCTCATTTTCTTGTGAAGAAAGACCTCTAAGAGCAATGTCTTCTTGTGGACCATAGAGTTGAAGTTCTATCTCTATAGCAGCTTCATGGT